GCATGCATGCATGCATGCATGCACCTTTTTGTATTAGCGGTTATGCTGATCATGATGAAGACTAATCAAGACCGCATACAGAATGGCGGATCATCGCAGTAATAGTATCTTTAGTTCTCTGAGAGGCCTTCTTTGAAGGGAACCTCGACGAGAAGCAGATTGTGATCCACAAGGGGTCTGGAGGCGCTTGATGCGGGCAGTCTCAGGTCGGCTGACATGTCCTGAATTCCTGGCTGAGGTGTCGTCTTTTCAGACGCCAGTGGCTTCACCGCCCTTACTGAGAAGTTAGCGAAGAAGAGCAACGGCGGGATGCTCAGCTGTACGCGACAAAACATGGCACAAAGAGACTCGGGCAACTCTTGACATGCGTTCGCCTCTATGCTGGACGTCTGTCATCGTTTCACCGGGGTCCACTACAGCCTTTGCGATGTTTGCTTCGTGTTTGTGACGTCGTACACAAGTTTGTCCTTAAAGTCTGTGTCCCTGTGCGTGCACAGACTCCTGTTCCCATTCACGGCTTCCAGAGGATTTGCAGCGTCCTCTGTCAGCCAGCCGCGGGGGGTGTCTAGATTCGTGAAACCCCAAATTCTACACCTTGAAAGATGTAAACCCTAAAGCATTTTGAGCCTAGGTGCCGAGCTGCTCTCTCAGTGCCTGACGGCTCGGGCCTCAAAGAGCACAGACAATGGAGGTGTGAATTAGAGTTGTAACTATACCGATTTAGATTTTTGAGTTTTAGGTTGCGGGAGAGATAAGTATATCTGTGATTATGACTCGGTTTGACGCTGATGATGATGACGACGACGATGATGATGGGCCGTTTTGAAGAGGGTTTGGCTAGCTTGGTCCAATGGGGGATTTTGGGGTTCCGGCTCGGAGCGCTTATAAGGGTTGAATGAAGGGTTTGAATAAGTGGTTTTTCCGTCTAGACAAACAAACGGGGTGTAGGGTATTCTCTCCTCACAGGAAACACCAACCCGAAGCCAAACAACATCAAGTTCTGAATCCTGCACGAAAAGACCCTGAGCCATGAAACCCTGAAGTCCCCGAACCACCAAAGCCGAAAACCCTGGACACTCAATCCTGAGCCCTAAGCCCTCGCGGGAAGTTTCATAGTTAGTCGTATTTCAACCACTTTCTCAGAGCCTTCACAGAGCTCTTGCAGCTGAGGCCTTCTTTACACCGCTGATAGACCTCATCAATGCGTACCGTGGAGACACCATCAAGTTCAGTGGAGATGCACTGAGCCTTCGTCTGCTCATTTAGGAGTTGCTAGAAGGGTTACTGTAAGGCCTGCCAGAAACTTGAGAAGTTTCGGGTTCTCTTTTTTGGTTCAGGGTTTGGGTTTTAGTGTCTCTAGGGTCTTTACGGCTTAGGTTCTGGAATCCTAGTTGGGGCCCTTCTTTTGGTGCAGGCGATTAGGTTCCACGGCAGAGTGTGCAGCAGTTTGCCTCTGTCCGAAACGAAGGACGATATACTTTCCCTCCGTCGACGACACGAAGACTTCCAGCTTTAATGGACGCTTGGACCAATGATGTTTTGTCGGTGTTGCCGTTGCATGGAAGGCGCTGGTGTGGAAATCTTCATGTCTAACATAAAGCCTTAAAGCCTAAGCACTGAACCCAAGCATCAGACCCTCATGCCCTGAGCTCCGAGGCACTGAAGCACGAAACCCCCAAGCCTGAGACACCCTGCCCTACAAACCACAAATCTTCCAAACAAATCGGGTATTCTGTCAACCCCGAAGCCCTAAAGCATGGAAACACTCCAACCTCGATAACCTGTCAGCTGTAGCTCTTCAACCCTTAAAAAGCCCCCAAAAAATGCCCTAAGCATGCCAGGCTAGCCCTCTTCCTTGTCAGGTTTCTAGCAAAAGCTTAGAGTCGCCAGAAATAGGTACCCCTCATGTAGTATCCCTTGGTAAAGAACGGTTTAGGGTTTAGGGTTTATTGACCGTGGTAGAAAGACCCCTAAAGCAGGAAACCTGAAAGGAACCTTATGTGCGATGTTCGAGGCATCGTGCCGCCGCACGGAAGTTTTGGCCTCGCTGATCTCGGTGCGGCTGCCAGTGGTTGAAGGGTTCCTTGTAAGGGTTCCTATATGGGTTGCTATACGGCTTCCTTTGCAGTGAGGGTTTACTACAACGGTTGCTGCAAGGCTGACTGTAAGGGTTGGGGTTTCGGTTTTTGGGCTTAGGCTTAGGGTTTCGGGTTTTAGGGGTTTTGGGGCTTATGGTGCGGGATTAGGGGGGCTTCAGCAGCGGTTCTTTTACAGTTTTGTTCGCTTAGATTAGATAAATTCGAGACCCAGAAGTTGGTCCTTGTGAAGGTTGAAATAAGGGCATGCCAGGCTCTCATGTTCTTATTCAAGAGTTCTGTCTGACTTGAGAAAGAACCGGATGCAGCAATTTTCTTTACCACGTGTTTTCATCTGTCTTATACGCTGAACGGTATAAGTTGAACTAAGCTCCTCAAGAAGGGCCCAGCGTTGCATGACGATCGGGCACTGGTTGGCTTTCTGCTAGGGCCAGCCCATCTGTCTATCTATGTCTACAGCTACCTATCCCTAAACCATAGACCCTAAGCCCTAAACCTAAAAACATATACAGATATACATACATATAAGTATACATGCCACTATAGCCTGTCTATTCCACATATATGTACACTTATATATGTATATATGTATATAAGTAACATGTTGTTTACGATGCAACCCATAATATGCTACATGTAAATATGTAGATGTAGGTAGATGCAGATTTAAGTGTCGGATATCGATGTGTGTAGAACTGATTCAGATTGCTCGCGCAGGCCCCATGGCGACGGCCGTCCTCCGAGCGCAGGGACCCCTGGGGCTCTCTCTGGGTCTTCCTTTAAAAGTTCCTCTGAGGGCTCTTTCATGCTTCCTAGAAGGGTTCATTGAGTTTTTCCTTTAAGGTGCCTTTCAGGTTCCGAAGGGTCATTATCGGGGTCGGTTGAAGGGTTCCTTTAAATGGCCTCTTTCCTTTCAACGAGTGCATGGGGGGCTTTGTAGGGTTGTCAAAAAACTCAAAAAGGGCTTTACAAGCTTTTTACAAGGGGTTGGACAAGGAACCCAGCCTTAGCACTTGGAACTGTCGTGCCTTTACGGGCCTCATAAGGGTTCCAGAACGGTGATTTTGGCGGGGGGGGGGG